CTTACGTTTTCATTGCGTTTTTTGTATAATTTGGACCATTAAAAGTACAATTGTGAAAAACACTGTGTGTATTACTCGGCTGTACTTGGTTCGATCGAAGTTCGAGACATAGCAGGACGCAGTGGTGTATTGTATGCTGACCGGGTACAGCGATCTCTGACCCAACATTAGCTTGACAAGTTGGCGTAAGTGGCGCCCTGGACAGTCCAACATCTGACTTGGATACATCTTTGGTATAACCAAGGCTTTGTGACAGTGTGCCTGACAAGTTTTGTCAGTTCTTCTGATGTAAGTTTGTTGGTGTAAGATCGGATGCTCGCGCCGTTTTTGTGACAGGACACGTACATGATAAGCCATTATGTCTCAACTCCGGCCAAATCAAGGATTATGGATACTGTCGGTCTAATACAGTGGTTTATAGCTTGCTTGCAAAATTCACCATATATTTTGTAATCTGTAATTTTGTAAATTATGTCTCCTGTTAGTAGCTTACATGAAGGTTTACTTCTATATTGGTATGAATAAGTTGAAACTATTGAAACGTATACTCCCTGTCAGCATCCATTATTCTATTTTTTTGTCATATTACCTCAAACTCTGCACTTTGAAATTGAACAATTGTATGAAATCAAGACGCTTTGACTGTACTGTAGTTACCATTGACATATCATACATTATTTATGTTATTTATGTGCACTAATAATAGAGAAAATACTTATACATTATTTTACTTTAGCTTGGGAAACGTTAGAGCTACATTGTGTATCGTTACGAGATGGAGAAGTGTAATAATGTAGCTCTCAAGCCACAGAGACCTTCAATTTTTAAAATCAGTTTAAGTATTTTTGTAGTAAAACGTACTCAGGCAGGTTTGCACTGAACAATTCATACCAATATGTAGATATATGACGATTTGAAAGCACATATGACGATTTGAATGCATATATGACGATTTGAATGCATATATGGCGATTTGAAAGCATATATGACGATTTGAAAGCATGTATGGCGATTTGGAAGCATATATTGCGATTTGAAAGCGTATATGGCGATTTGGAAGCATGTATGGCGATTTGAAAGCATATATTGCGATTTGAAAGCGTACATGGCGATTTGGAAGCATATATGGCGATTTGAAAGCATATATGAAGATTAGAAAACATATATGGCGATTTGAAAGCATGTATGGCAATTTGAAAGCATATATGGCGATTTGAAAGTATATATGGCGATTTTAAAGCATTCATGGCGATTATAAAGCATGTATGGCGATTTGAAAGTACGTATGGTGATTTGAACGCATATATGGCGATTTGAAAGCATATATGGCGATTTGAAAGCATGTATGGCGATTTGTAAGCATGTGAAAGTGAAATAGTTTTAGTCATATTGGCTAGTACTACATTATTTTTCTGAGCCAAATAGCGATCACATGGGAAATGATGAAAATATAACTCAGACACAGACAATATGTTCTTCTAATGTTTAATTCTGGGGGTTAACCATAAATAACATGATCAACGATGTCAGCCATATCTTAAATTACGAATTCAAACATAGATCTACTTGAAAGACACTATTTTCTTAACTAGTCAAAATAAACATTTAAATAAAAAAGAAACACAAAGTTGGTCATCTATGGCTGAGTACAGGTTTCATGAGTGCGCCATCAGTGGTGATAGTTTGATATTTGGAACATATTACTTAATAGTTAACTGATTTATATATTTTATCTTCAGTTTTCAAGGATAATCTGTTTTTCATTTCCATTTTTTGCAATTTGCCACTTCAAACACATCCTGGAGTTTTGAATTTGTATAAATTAGGGAGATGGCTATAAATTTGACAACATTTTGTAAAAATTCAAATAGCCTGAGGGCGTCTCAACATTGCCCAAAAATACGAATGTGTATGTACGAATTATGTACATTACTAAAGTGTCAAATTATAGAAGGTAAGTAGCAATATATTAACAATCAAAGCGGAGTGGCGAAGTCCTGTCCTGGTATCACTGGAAATTTGCATATCAAAAGAAGTTAGTTGTTTAACCCAAGGTTGACCTTACACAGTCTCTGTGCACCGTGCACAGTCTCTGTGATCTGTGTAAAATGAAACGTTTTGCCGACTTTACATCAATACAGTGTATATAATTCATAAATCTCGTTCACGTTAAGA